CAATAGCCAACGGTACACGGAGGAAACACCTCCTACACAATGCCCTGCCAAGAGGGATTAACGTGCTACCTAAGCCGAAGCTGAAACTATTACAATGGTCATGTACGACCACCGGAAACCAACCAGCCCCCACACGAGGCAAAAGAACCGACCCACGCTAAACTGTCCCCAATCAAGAATTGAATCCGGCAAAAACGAAACCATCATCAAAGGCAAACTTCCAGGAGCAGGAAATCCATCATCCATCAAGCTCATGAGCCCTTCACCCATAAGGTGAGCGGAAATCCAAAGACACCCGAAGAAACCCTACCAACATCCCATCCACCACCAACTGGAGCAGACACATATATACACTCCCAAACCGAATCAACCTGAACAGCCAGAGACAAGAAACAAACCAAAACTAGCTGGTGAAACACATGTACACCACCAGACTGGGAACTTGGCCCTAACGATCAAGCAAGAGGATTACTCAATCAGCCCCAGGGATCCCAAGCCCTGACCCGAAACATTCCCAGCCTTACGGAGGTTGCCAAGGCTGCTCAGCAGCCACTGGCAAAACAGGGGCATCCACTTCTCCCTGCACACGTTTAACTCGTTTTGGAGTTAACTCCGCAGTACCCTCAGTCTCTTGCCCTCTTGAGCTCCAAGCATTGGGCTCGCATCCATCCACCTCCATAACCTGGTGACCAGCCAAATCTGAACTTGATCGAGCCCTCTTTTTCCAGTTTTTTCTCTGACCCAAATCCAGTAGGACACTCCTATAAGGGCGAGCTTCCCCACTACTATCCTTCACCTGGATATCCGCACCTGCTTCTTTCCCATTGTCTTCCACCTCCATCTGCCCAGAATTACTATCATCACCAGTCTGCTGAGGATCAAGATTTGAAGCTGGGCAATGCAGCTGAGTTTTAGCAGCCCCCTCCGACAATGATACACATGCTGAAAGCTTCCTATTAGCTCTCAACCATGGACCATACTGCTGTTCAATCCCTTCCCCAATCGCAGCCCCTTGATCCTTCTGACCACACCGACCAGAGGAATGAAAGATCAACCCACAATGATAACAAAAATTCTGCAATCTTTCATATTTAAATGGGACCCAACACTGGTCCCTGCCATGTTTGAATAAGCACCCCCGCATCAGTGGTTTTGATATATCAATAAGGACCTTTATGCGCAGGAATGC